AGGCTTTTAATCCTGTTAGTTACATCTAGTGCACATTAGTGGACAGACTTGGTGGCTTCCACTGAGTTTAGTTCTCAGAGGAATCCTGGTTCTGTTTGTAACGGGTGCATTTCATGCATCTGCCTGTTTCTTTCCCTGGTGAGCTGCAGGTTTTATAACTGTCCATTCTAATGACCCGGTGTGTCACCTTGGCAGTGCATCCGGCTGGGACGGTGGAAGATCCTCGGTATGTGTAGGGAAGCCTCAGTGTCAGTGCAGGGCACAGACAGGAGTCACACCGGTATCTTCATTATGAATCTCCTTCTGGCTCCTGATTTTCCTTTTTACAGGGTGCCGAGCTGCTGCGAGATGCCTCTCTGGGAGCTCAGCTCAGGGTTCACCTGATGAGAATGATGGTCCTGACAGAACCAGAGGTAGAACATGGGGGGTTGTTCACAACCCCTAGAAGGGTCTGTCACAGGTGAGGCTGAGCCCAGCTCCCCTCAGAGGGCTAGCCAGCCTGTGACAGGGCCACTAAAGGGGAGGCATATGAAGATGTGCCTTCTCTTTAGGTGGGTATGAACATCACCACGAACATCACCTCCTCGCTGGTCAGTGTCTGCGAGTGGAGCAAGAAGGTCAATCCCCAGAGTGACTCAGATCCCCTGCACGCCGACCTTGTCCTGTATGTGACCAGGTAACAGAACTCCCCTGACTGAGGGGAGATTAGAGACGTAAGGTCAGGCTGGCAGAGTCAGGCGAACCGCAGCAACTGCTGGACGTGCTCAGCTGGGATGGGAGGAAAATGTGCAGCCTTTGGAGAGGGGCCTTACAATTCTCCTTGCGGGTGGCTTGCTGTGGTGTAGAAAGCCCTCATGCCAGTTGTTCCCCTGGTCTGGAAGGGGCAGGTATTCTGCATGTCCGCACCCACCAGCTCCCAGAGCACAGATGGGGCTGAATGCTGAACAATTCCACTTCCTCAGCTTCAGTGTTAACGGGAATGTCCCAGCCCGGCTGTGGCGGACTCAGCACAATTCCAGCGGAGGCCTGCGACCCCAGCAATGTTTGCACGATCACGGGAGGCTCATGTGAGGGCAGAAAAGTCTAGAATAGGTAGAAACCCAGTGGTTGTTATAGAGAAATTCCCCAGCTACAGAGATTTCCTCTGACTCACACATTTGCTTGGCTCCCAGGCTCACATTATTCTCAATTGACCGTAGCTAATGACACCTGACAAACTCCCATTGAATGTAATGTCCTTGTTTAGTTGCTCTTCTCTGCACAGAGGGGATTCTTGTATCTGTCTCCTGCAGACAGGGTTATATCTAATCAACACATGCCGGGTAGGGTGGTACCCGAGCAGGTTCTAGGTACTAAGGCCTTGGCTACACTTGGCGGCAGCGCTGTGAAGCACAAGTGTAGTCTCTCGCAGCGCTGTATGTACTCCACCTCTCCGAGGGGAGTAGCTTGCAGCGCTGC